TTACAATATTAACAGAATTGTATAAAAATATATATGTAAGGGATTAATCTAATTAGAGAAAAATAATAGCCCCACTCACTTGAAAAAAAATGCTAAATTTAGCGAATTTTTCAGAATTCATGACTTAAAAGGCATGCTGTTGACAATGGGCTAACATGATTTAATAGTTCAGGGTTAAAACATGAAACTATTTGGTTGATGACATAACAAAGAAATTTTCAGTGTTTTTTTTTTACTCTAACATTATCTATGGAATAGAAGTGGTGATGTTCTTTCACTGTTATGGCTCTTTACTTGGAAATCTAATATAAAAGGAACCACATAGAATATTATTTAAAGAAAAGATGAAATGAAATGACTCTCAACCATTTCAAGAAAAATATAAATTAATTCAAAAAATTAAAATATCGATTTCCAAAAAGGCATATATAAATGTATATCCTTGTATATCTAATTGTTGAACTATTTTTTAAGTCTATTACTAACCTATCACACATTAAAAATTACATTCCATTTTCTGTAGGAGGGAAGTTATTTGAATTGTTATGATGTTATGCCTACATGTAATTTCAAACAGAAATATATATTGAACAAGTTTCATATATATATATATATATATATATATATATTTCAAATCTTACTGATTAAACTATTTCATTAATACTATCTTCCCGACCATTGCAAATTTTTTAATACTTAGCACTTGTATTGTTCATCTGCAACAGATTTTATACAAAAATAAAATAAAATAATAAATTAATTTGTATTTTTAGTATTAAAAACAAATTAGTTATAAGCTGAAAATATACCAAAAAAAGCTTATTCATAAAACTAAAAATATGAAGGATATTACATGTAGACACAAGTTCCATTTAAAAAAAAAATTATAATCTGTATGTATAATAATGAAGACTCCCCATGAAAGGTCTAATCTACCAATCTATTCATTAGAACTATATTCTTTGTAATATGAATTCATTTCAAATGGCAAATTCTGGTGATTTCTTAAACACATGTTTATGCACACAAGGTGTCCAAAAAAAGAAAAAAGATAACTCTTAGGAGATTTGTTCCAAATTTAAAACTGAACAAAAAAGTTCCTATAATCATTGGGCAACAAATGAAGTCTTGACCTGTTTTCAGACCAAAAACATGGAAAAAATAGATGTAGTACTAAATGGTACTGCTGCAGCATAGTATGCACCAAATTATTTTTTCAATGTGATGACAATAATGAATAATTTCTTGTAATCAATGAAATGTTTTTAAAACACTACAAAAACTTTTTTTTTTCAAAATCATAGCTTCCTCACATATTATATATTTTATCTTTTAGAAATAATTTAGATCGATGTTCATTGGTTTTTTTGAACATTTAAAATTTTTGAAAACTATCTAAAACCAATTTTACTAAAAGTAACTAAGTTTGTTAACTAAGCAAGTAAGTTTGTTATTTGATATTTGCCAGTCATTTTGAAATTCATATCAACTTAGATATTGACCAATGATTGTGACTTAGCTCTATCAATCTGCTATAGCGTCATTTAATATCAAATTTACATTTCCAGAATGTAGGTATTTATTTATATATTTGTTAGCATGTATGTATTTCAGTCCATTTGTGAAATAATAAATTGTTTATTTATCAATTGCCAAAAAGTCTAGACAAATACATGAATGGTAGACCATAAATGTCTCAACAGAAATATGTGGTTTAAATAGAATGATAGAATTATGTGATTTTCATTGCCTATCATTTATCTTTTCCCATGTTTTTGGTTTGAAAATAGGATAAGACTTCATTTCTTGGATGATGATCACTGGATTAAACTTGCTATAGTTTTCCCAAGGTTTATCCTTTTTTTTTTTTTTTTGGAGACATCTTGTATATATACATATATAATTATAGGAATCAACCAGTTTTCACAGCATATAACCAAGCATTTGCAAAGAACAACAAAGTTACACTACAATCTTGAAATATTTTCAAAATACTTTCCATTTTTTTATTAAACCAACGAACTTTGCTATTCTTTGTCAAACTTCCTAAATTTTCTAAACCATTAGTATATATATATAAATAAATATATATATTTAAAATAATATAAATCTGAAGACTTCAGAACATTCAGTTTATCATTAGTGCACATTAAATTCACATTACTTACAATTTTATTACATTTGTGCATAAATAATTATATATATTATACCAATTTATATTTATTCTTTATATATTTAAAATATGTGTTTTCTTAAAATATGAAAACTCGTTGTATATATAATCCTGTAACATTTTAAAAATAAAAAAGAAATAAGTAAATACCATTTACTATCAATATCTTTAAAAATTTAGGTTAGCACCTTAGAGATTATACAGGCTTAAAATGGTGTTGAATCACGGGACAAATTTAAATTATGAAATCACAATACAATTTAATAGACAATGAATTTGACCCGCTCCAAAACTATTTACATGTTTCCACAATGTACAACTACTAACGAGCCTCATTTTAATACTAAGCAACAAGAAAAAAATATAAAGAAACATAATAGTTTAAAATTTCATTATAAAAGTTTATAACAAATCATTAGCGATACAGTATAATAACTGTTCCTCCATAAACTAAAGGAATTTAGTTTTTCAGTCTTGGAAAACATAAAAATGTACATTGATTACAATTTAACAAAACAATGTTAACTATATACCTAATCTATATATCTCAGATTTAAAACACTTATGTTATCTTTATAATTTTGAAATTCAATTTTATATAAAAGTAAAATGAAAATTGAACTTGTAGTTTAATTTAAATTTTTAAATAGATCTTTATGATTGACTGTTAACTAAGACTATAATTATTTGGTTTTAGGCTCTGTAAGAAGTAGTACATGCTCAAAAAATAAGTTGTACCTATACCTAATATTCTCTAAAATGTACTAATGATTTATTATAATCTATTTTAAGGGTTCATGATTTCAAATAACACTAAGGGAGTTATAATCTAAGGCATCATAATGTTCTGCTAACAGTCATTTGTGAATTTTTTATGAAAACACTATTCATATTGAGTGATTGAGTTGTCAAGGGTTCCCAAAATCACCAATAAAGGTAGCATTCCTAATTCTAATTATTCTATAATACTTATGAGTATTAAACACCTTGTTTATTTTCACAGTTTTGTTCTCTTTTAGTAATATATTTACTTAATCCATTAAATGATAGAAATAAATTACTAATAAACCCTTAAAACAACCCAGTAAATTAACAAGCCATTTTTATTGATTAAAAATGTCAAATGACTGAAACTGCATAATTTTCTTCTTTGAGAAGTCATTACAATACAATTAATTTAAAATCATTGAAAAAAACAAAACAAAAACTGTAAATATAACAAGGTATTCATTCTAATATATTATCTTCAATTCAATTATCTAATTAACAAGCAGTTCAAAATATTTAATATATCAATGTTAAATACTGCATTTAAAGGCCAGAGATATTGAAATTAAAAAAACAAAAAAAAATGCTACAAGATTTAAATAGTTATATATTGTTTAGGAATGGATTTGTAGTTCCTAACTGAAGCTTTGAAAACTTCATTTTACTACGTAATAGTAAAGCTTTCTACCACACATTACTCCTTGTTAGGAGCATAAAACAGAGCCTGGTCAATCACTAGTATTTCTAAACCCACAAACCATAGCACATAGATTGTAAAAATTCTATATCAAATTGACAAGTGACTTTCTTGAAGCATCATGCACTAAAGAATCCCTTAATTTGCCACTAAATAAATTAGATATTTAATGTTTTTCCTTTTCTTTTGAATACCACTCACTGGTATTTTACATCTTCTGATTATTTTTTGAGATATGCATTCTGATGTTTAATTGAATATTTTGGATTTCCTTTCATTTTTTTTCATATAATAGTTTTATTTGACAGGGCTATAAAATTAATTATTAAACATGTCTGAATGAAATAGTTCATTATTGATACAATCGTAATGGAATTCAATGAAAATACAAAATAACCAAGATAATAAAATGATATATACAATTCCAGATCAATTATAACAAAAAACCTTCATAATTAAAATATATATATTAAAAAAAAATACCAAGTTTCACTGTTTATATATTTAATGAAAAAAAATCCCTTAAACTGCTGTTTGAAAGTTTTTATTTATACAGGAAAAAATGTGGTGCTCAGTTTGCATGGTCTGTTTTCAGACTCTGGAGAAAATCTTTTTAATAAATCATTAATAAGATCTTTAAATAACTTAACTTTTGCTGGAATTTGCATTTTAATAATTAGGTCGTATGGTCCAAATCATTAGTCCTATGATTTTCACAACAGATAATTAAATTTTAAAATTTATTTATTTTTTATATTGAACAAAGTAACTCCTGGTAGAAATATTATTATTTATAGAAAATGTTATATTACAGACATTAAAAAAAGTTAAAATAAAGAATACTGTCAGTGTAACAATATTCCAAATATAGCAGATATTATGTAATTATTTTAAGTAAATTACTCTCAAAAACTTTTCATGCAAAAAAAGTTACACTATAGAAATAAAACTAAGAATTTAAAACCAATAAAAATTCTGGCCCTCAAATTTAATGCATATTCAACCAAGTAAATCTTCATTACCATATACAAATTTGTTAACAAGTTTTAATCAATACTATAAACTAGTTTCATAAAATCTTAACATTTTCCGATAACAATCTAAATTTTTTTATTAGTGTAGAAAATAATCTTTTAGTAATTATATAAGATAGAGAAAAGATAAGATTATTTCTTTTCTATTATTTTCATCTCATATTTTTCACACAATTTAATTATTTTTAAACAATGGAACTCTATTAGTTTTACTTAAATTTAGTATAATATATTCAATATGTATATCATTTATATGATATTTAATTCCCATATCTGACAAATGATTTAATGTAGTATAAAAAAAATATTTTTACAAGTTAGAACCCCTGACAAATATCAACATGCCTATAATTAAATATTTACAATTTCACTTAAACTAATCATGCCATCCTAATTAAGTCAAGTAGGATCTTTGTCTTTAAGAGCATCTAGAACCCTTTTCTTGAGCTCGGTTCCTGGACACTGAGATAGGCCAACAAGTTCTTCTCTTGATAATCTCTCAAGTGGTGAGGCATCTGGCCTTAGTGCCATATCTGAAGCTGATTTATTTTTTGGGAGGACGGAGACTACTTTTGGTTTGTTTGGAAACTGATCCTGCATATTAGTGATTTGTTCAAGGAGAGAAGGAGCATTCCTTCGCCTTTCCTCCATCTCTTCTGACTGACAACGCTCACCAGTGAACCTAGCCAATCTCTCCCTAAATGCTGGATTTCCAGTGTCTATGTAAGAGAATCTGTGGCCAGTAGTTACTTGAGGAGGGGGATGAACAGCAATTTCTGGTGGAACAAGATATGGAGAACGTGGTGCTGCTACTTCCAGTTCAGCTGCACTGGCCACACTTAGCTCAGGAGTCAAAAAATGACTCTGCCGTCTTGAATTTATGTCTGGTGGACTCGGGTTGGTGTCTCGACTTAACCTAAAAGTAATAATTATATTAAATATCAATTGTAAATACTTTATAATTTGAATTAAATTTAAAATTGTTGATTATTAATCATGAATTTAATTGTTGTTCTTTAACCTTAAGAAAATGAACGACCAAAGTGCATACAGAATACTGCAAGCAAAGTGCTATGAAAGTAAAAGAATAAACTGAATTAATTGAAAACATGATTGGATGAAAGTATTCTGTTCAAAATTTAAAGTTTTGAGACAATGGCAAATAAAGTTTTATGTAATCTTCAGTTTTTAATATTACCAGAAAAAGATAAGCATATAACATCTTTATCCATAAGAAAAAAATCAATATTTGAAAATTCGTTAAATAGTGCATATGAGGGGTATCGTAACTCAGTAAGCAAAGCAATGGACTCATATTTTCCGGTCTAGTGTTCGATTCTGGCTGTGGCAAAATATCATGGATGCCTGGTGTTCAGGAGGATAAGTGGATACTCATACTCTATAAAGTGGATACTCACTCTGAATTAACTAATTCAGGGAAAAAATCAAGCAATTGAGTATGATCTGGATTGAATCACCATCTTAGATGACCATTGACCTGAAAACAATAATTTCTTACACAGTATTGAACCCTTCATAGGTTGTATCGGTACATTTTTTTTTTGCGTTATTTTGCAATAATTTTTGTTTTCAATTGTCAGTTTTTGTTAACAATGGTTTTTAAAAACACTTCAAAGCCTTGTTATTTTTTTCCTTTTTTTAAGTACAGTTATAAGAAATATATTGTTATTCATATTAGCAATCTGGATTTTAAAACTTTTGTCAGATGGTTTATTTAATGAAAGTGTTCTTAAATACAACATTTAATAAAGATTATGAAAATGGACTTTTAAAATTTTATCTATTGTAAGGATATACATTGGTGGTCATAAAAACCGCCACATCTTAAATTTTTTCCTCATTTCCAACAGAAAAAAAATCCAACAGAATTTTTTAAAATTTCAATATAGAGTGACATATTCTGCTTGAAGAAGAGCACAAATAGAGTGGACAAACGAGAGAAATTCATTTTAAAAAATTGTAATGTAAAATAAAGCAAACGATCACCTTTTTAAACAAAAACAAAATACATTTAAATCATGAGATTTTGTCGAAATGATTAATACATGAAAATCCCCTTTGACCTACTTGATATTACTTCAGGCTTAAATTTCTTCAATATGCAATTTTATATAAAATTCAAGGTGCACCAGTTTTATGACCACCAGTTTATTTATGTTGCTCATATCCCTGCTGGTCATTGTTATTATTATCACCGTTGGCTCCTGGAAGAGTATCTACAAGTGTATTCCATTCCGCTCTTCATGCTTCAATCTTGATCAGGCCATTAAAACCTTACTGATTATTTGACTGCAAATCTTTCCATTGTTTTTTAATTTTATATAATAATTGATTACAGCATGAATAGATTAATTCAATGCACATTTTTCAATGTTTCTATGTTCTCTTCAACTCTAAAAAAAACATTTTAGTCAACACTTTTGTGTAATCGTATGTATCATGATTGTCTTTTGAATGATGGATTATTTCAGAAACAACACGCCATTTTTACCAGTTTTGAGTAAAGAGTGGTTTTGATCATAGACGCATCTTTCAGTGCAAAAGGAAAACAGCATTTCATAATCCATCATTGGAAAAAATTCAATTCAAAACATTAGAGTAAGAAAAAAATTGTCAATTCTCTCAAAATTTTCAAGTTTTTGATGTAGAATCTGTCTGTCATTTATTTTTGTGCCAAATCAATTTAATTTATTTTTTTATCCTTTCAAAGTAACTTTTTTTTAAACTCCACTGTTCTACATTGCTGCCATACGGGGTTTTGGCAGCAGTGAGTTAATTCATTGGGGTTTTCATATGCCCACTGCTGCCAAAATACTTTATTAATCATTATTATTTATTTATTTTACAATAATTTTAGGAACAATAAACAATGTGTTAACTGTGGTGGGGATCGGTACACGGTTGTGCACTTTAGTGATGGCACCTTATCCGCACTGCATCCATCCAGTCCTTCCTCAAAGTGCTTTCTCTTCTTCCTCCTCCTCGGGTAGAGTTCTTGTCACTCCAAGATAGAAATGAGCAGGGCCCATCACATCCTCCCACCCATACACAAACTCCCGAAGAAACAGATAATTTTCTTTCTTGACCCGGCAGGCAAAATCCTCCTCTGTTAGGGTATACCTGCCTATCCCTCTCATCAATTTTGCATGGTATCCCTCCATCGTGGTGCAGGATATCAATATATGTTCTGCTGTTTCAGAGACTCCGCAGGGAGGGCACCGGGAGTCGATATTCTTTCTATGGGCCACCAGTTTTCCCCGGAACTCTCCATGTTCTGTGAGAACCTGTGAGACTCAGTGTTCAGGGAGGACCTATGTTGCATTTAATCTTGACTGGACGGTGGGGAAGAACTTCCTGAGGGTAAACCTTTTCGGGCTTGTCACCCACTCTTTAATGGATTCCTCCCTGATAATCCTTTTTCAATGGTTTGGATTCTCACTGATTCTCTCACGGAGCCCCTCCGGTAGCATCTCCAGTCCCTGTCTCTTGAAATGGAACTTGATTGTATCCTCCTTGAGAATTAGTTCCAGAGGCATTGCTCTGGTCAGCACCTGCATCGCTTCATGGGACACCATCTTATAGGCCTTTGTTGTCCTCAGCACGACAAGTCTCTGAATTGTGGCCATCTTCCTCTTCTGGATCTGAATCAGGTGGCAGCTCCACGCTGATATCTTATATAACCATTTCCTCCAGGTTGGCTGTTGGTCCTCCTTCCGACCTTATCATTGCCATCACATGGGCTGATCTAAGCTTATCCATCGCCACCCTGTACAGTATTCCCCAGGGATTTTTCTCAGTTTCCATTCTTATGAACACGTCGCAGGACATTCACTTCTGGTGCCGCACTCTGGCCTTGTATCTGATCTGAATGCCTCTGCATTCCTCCCGAAGTGCCGCCTTCTTGCCTTCGACCCTGCACTTTAGGTATCTCTGCCTGGCCCAATGGTACTCCTTTTTGAGCTCTGTTAACTCAGCATTTCACCATGGGACACGTCGTCTCCTCATGCCTCTTGGTTTCAGTGAGTCCACCTGCTGCAGCATATATGACCTTCGTCAGATCCTCCACGCGCAGGTCCAGATCACAACTAACATGGGTGGTGGGGTTCATTGCCTCCTGCCATTCCCGGTCCGCCAACTCAAACTCTAATGCACTGGTGAAGCGCGTCCAATCTGCCTTTCAAAGTAACATAAAGTTTCTTTATTCCAAAATTAATTTTCTAACTTTTAAACGTTTATCCATGTCGTTATAATAAAAAAAGTAAATGAGAAAGGTACCAATAAAATGGTTAATTCTAGCAAAAATACAAGCGTAAAATTTTGAGCATTTTTTTCTGAACATCTCACAATACTCATATTGCTAAAAAATGACACAAATTGTCAAAAGATTGATTGTACACAATTTATATATTTTTTGAAGATTTTTATCTAATATTTGAATATAATTTAGTTGATTGCGTTTTTTTACGAAATTATGAAAATGTTAAAAGTGTCTTCTGTGCAATGACTGATTTAATTGAAGAATCAGTAATAATGTTAGCCTTTAATAATAATGGCCTTAATATAGAAGGCTCAGCGAGATTCGTAGATTTCTTAAGACTTTAATAAAAAAGGAAAAGAAACTCTGATAGTTGATCCTACTATTAAATTTGAAACAAACGATGAGGATCAAGATCTTAAAGTACAAAAAGAAAAAAAGGAAATCTATAAAAAAGGCATACCATATCTATAGGAGAAATATAGAGAGGAATTTGGTGAGAGAGAATATTCGGTTAGGGAGTTATGATTCGGGAATAGAGGAGTGATTCCACCTTCAATTGTTGATTTTTGGAAGAGCTGAGTATGGGAAGGAGCCATCTGCAGAGTATGGTAAAATCTATTTTTTAAAACTCATTAGGAATCCTACACCACCATCTACATTAATTCTGGATACTTTGTTGTGAAATCAGCAGACAAAAGTGAGAGGGAAGAAAATGAGAAGAAAGTTGTAACAATAAATCAAAAAAGTATAATATTTGGTAAGTTGGATGATGGTCCCGTAATGATTTCTCCTATTTATTCTCTTTTATTAAATAGTATCGATTATGACTGATCAGTATGCTGAGTGATTTAGCAATTCAACACAGTGTTGAGTAGCCTTACAATTTTATTGTACTTCCATCAAGAACGTAAGGAGTGATCCAAATTACTGAAGCTTTGAACCACTACCTAAAAAAAATAATTAATTATTTTTAACTTATCTATTTTTGCCTGATCACTAAAGACATTTGTGGAATTATATACATTCATAGTATAATTGTGTTCATGTATCAAAAAAAAATATAAGATGTGTAAAGTAAAATTAAAAAACAATATATTTAAATTACCTTCTTCCTATAGCTTGTGAACTATGACACTCCAGAAAACGACTAGCCGCAAAGTTGATATCGGAACTCATCCTCCTTAAACTCAGATTACCAGAGCTTTTCGATCTGAACACATCTTTACTGAATCTTCGAGCCAGTTCAAGCCTCCAAAAATAAGTAATATATTTATAATATAATAGATATGAATAATTGAAAATAAATCGGTGATTCTTAAATATAAAAAATACCATGTAATATTTAATATTATAGTAATTAAAATAATTTCTGTGTCCCAAAAGTAAAGGACACCATGTCTATTTTTTTATTAAACAATATAGTAACTAAGAAACAAAATTTAATAATTCAAAGTTATTGACTTACTGAACAAATTCAAAAATGTGACATGGGGTATTTTACCTCTTGGGTACATATTTAGTAACTAAGGAATAAATTTTAATAGCTCAAAGTTATGGAAGAATGGCACTCCTGAAGAAATACAGAAATGGATATGGTGTTCTCTCTTTACCTTCCGCATACAGATATACATTATAAGATAGTAATCAACTCTATAATATTGTTTCCCAAGAAAGGAGAAGAGATCCCAGTCGTTCTGAACTTTGGTATTGTAACATCATTTTAAAAATTAATAAATGGTTTTCTCTATTTTGAGTTTAAGGTAAAAGCATTATTAGGTAATTTTAGACTGTTTTTATGTTCTTATAAGTTCAGGATTTTTTTTTCCATTGGCAGTCTCTATTTTATTATACAACTTTATTGGTAGAGAAACTTTCGGTGTCCGTGCACCACATTCATCTCTATAACTACAATACTCCAATTAGGATAAATTAACAAAAATAATCCTGACAAAAATAAAAAATCCTGAACTCGTAAAAGCATTTTTTAAATACTAAATCATTAGGACAAACTCAATTTAGGGAGCGCCCTGGATCTCCTCCATGTTTGTGACATACCATGGAGCTTTGGTTATGGTCCTTAAAGTTTTGGACATAAAAGTTTGTAGTTTTCTTACGTGGGTCGTTTTGGCTATATTTATTACGTAAATTTGTGAAGCGTAGGTCTATTTGGGCTTAAATAGGTAATTGTAAGTGTTCAGTTTTTGTTTTTGGTTTCATTTGAAGCGTCTTGAGAGAAGTGAGTCGAGGTCTAAGGTCTAAGGTTTAACGCTTTTCTTTTTTTGTTGATATGTGGGCCCCATAACATTCTGCTGTCGAATGTCAGTCCAAGATATTTTATTTTATCTGTTTGAGGAGTTTCGGCATTGTCAAGGTAAATAGGAGGACATGTTCCATGTGGAAGATTGAAAGTAATGTGTTGTGATTTGTCTTGGTTGAGTCGAATTTTCCAGAGTTTGCACCTATCGTTTAGTTCTGTTAGATGATGTAAGGTCTGTGAGGCGTGTGTTGGGTTTTTATGTCATGTTAGAATAGCTGTATAGATTTTCAAATAGTAAAAGAAATATTGTGAGGTTGTCATGAAACATATGAAATGAAAACACGTATGATAAAGCTTTAGAATGAGTCATCAAAAAGCCCTTCAATACCATTTGCTTTGAATATATAAGTATTTTCATGATCAAGAAAAGGATGAAATTCGACTGTTCCCTGATTTTTAAAATTCAATATTAAAAAAACTACCCAAGAAAACATTTTTTAAAAAATTGTGACGTGTTTCGTATATATAGATTACAAAGAATTATAAACCCTGCAGTCTTTTCAATGCTTCCTTTTTTCTTGTATGAAAGTTTTTCTTTCGAAAATGCGCAACGCTGTTGGAATGTGAACCCTGAACCCTGCCGAAAATTCTAAAATATATCAAAATGTGCCCCTCTCAAAAATTTTGACGGCGCAACCTGCGATTTAAACCTTCTTCTGGACACCCTTTTCGTAACTAAAGTACAAACAATCATATAAATCGGAGAAATGCACGTTCAATTTTGTTCATTAATTGGGAGGTCTGACATATAATGACCCCAAATACCTTGGTCGTTGGCGCCAAGCGATTTGATGTAGGTGAAAGAATCAACGCCAATGATTTGATGACGACTTAAATTATTTTCCCTTGTGTGTAAGAGCTTTTCAAGATCTCGATGCCCATTCAAGCCAAAAATATGATACAGCTCAAATATATTGCAAGTGTATTCTCGAGTTTTATCAATTCGACAAAATTTAGAACAATAGGAAAATTAGAAAGATGCGTTAACTACAAGAAAATGAAGAAAAAAAAAGTCATTCAGCTTAAATCTTTAACAGGCAGTTTTAAAATAATACAAAGATTATTCTCTAAATTGAATGGCTCTTCGGGATAAAGTAGAAAATGTAAATAATTACAAAAAAAAAGAAAAAAAAAAAAGAAAAGCACTTTTCAAATTCATATAATCAGGAGAAATGCCACAGAAAATAAAATAAACGGCCAATTTTCGAGATTATCGTTGGGGATGGAAGGAAAAACAAACAAACGCAATTAACTGAACGAATAGCTGAATCCAACAGAGACTGTAAATTAGATTTCATGTTTCACACCAATATCATCTCATCAACCTACTAAAAATAGGAGTAAATGAGCATTCAAAATTCAGATTTATTTTTCTAATTGTTTATATTATTTTAAGTATAATATGTTTTATTTTTTTTTATTTCTGAGCTATTCCTAACGATCTCTTATTTATTTATTATTTTTTTACTCATTGGATGATGATGCGGATTCTATCTTCATAACCTTTTTATCTAAAATCAATTTCTCAAATATCCGTCCAAAATATGTTTACACTATTATTACAATAACCCCTTCGTATATATAATTTTAAATTGGAAATTTTTAGTATTTTAACAATTAATGTAAACCAATTTACTTACGTCACCTAGGAAAACAGATAATTAAAATAAGAAATTATGTTTTGCGAATTTTCAAAGCTTTATCTATTTTGAAATCTGAATAATTTGATATCTGTTAGGTTTAGAAAAAAATGTTTCTTTCAAAAGTGTTAGACAATTTCAAGATGTTTAAGATTATATAATCATTTTTTGCAACCACACCTTAAAATGGAGATATTTAAAAGTCTGAAATTTCAATGGTTTTTGGAGCAGTGCGGGGAACCCTTAGTTTTTCAATGTCGAAAAGCCTGCAGGCGAAACTGCACAGGCTTAGAGACCTGCGCAGGCGACCGGAGAAGAATCGAAATTTAGTATTTTCTACCTGCGCAGGCGTGTAGACCTGCACATGTGTGTGAGTCACGCCGATATACCTATACAGTTTTTAGGTTAATTAGTACAGTTTTTAATCAAGTAAAGCAATCGCATCGTCTGTTTGTTCGCAATCTCTTGACTGAGTTAAAATCTTTCGGTTTACCGTAGGTGGGTAATGTATACCTGACAAGTATACCGCAACGTATATGCCCCGTCTAAAAAATTGAATTACCGGACCTTTCATTAGTTGATTATTTTTGTTTTTAATCCCCGGTTTTATTTACTAAAATATAAAAAAAAAACACGCTTTTCCACGAACATTTCATGATTATTAAAATCTTAAGGTAGAGAAAATGATTGTTTCTTTAACGTCCTAATGTTCTAAACTCCTTCACCCAGTAGTGAATCTGCTACATTGGGCATGGCAACGATTATAGATACCTGTGATCACATTTTATTATATGAGTAAGCAAACAATCCGATCAACATTAATTACCAAAATGGGCATTTTTAAGTATTTCATCTAGGAAACTTCTTTTAAACTAGCTAAATATTAAAATAATATTTATCAGAATTCCTAAATCTATTTTGTTAAAACGTTTTTTGGTCATTCGGTTAAAATTTTGATCCACTTGTCGCGGAACTTGGTACAATCAATTTTAATTAAATTCACATTACACAAAACTGTTTGATTGTGTACATAAGCTATCGCGGATCCAGGATTTAATTTTGGAGGAGTTTTTTTTACCTTCTTTTCTTTTTATGATAACGGCAATTTCTTTGGAAAGAAACTATATAAAGTTATGTTTAATTGGTCCTTGAAGGCCACAAAAAAAAAAAGAAGTAATTCAAAGGATAATAATCCTAGGGGAAATTTAAAAAATATTGTTTCATAACACGTGTTTGATAGTAGATTCCATAGTTGATTTAATATGTGTATATGCGTTATAATTTAAAAAGAGTACGCACATTGTTTATTGTATTTATTCAAGTATTTAAATTAATAATATTATTATTATTTTTCTAAACATATTTATTAAGAGATATTACAATCTGTCACAATTAAGAACATTCACACCCTGTTTAAAATAAATAATACAGAAATATAATAATACTAAAAGTAAACTAAAATAAACTAAACTAAACAAAAATAAATTGAAGTGATCAAAATAACTACCCAAATACACAAATGCTTCTATACAATATCTAAATAATTCATTTACTCAAGATCTCTGAGCCAAGCCTTTTTCTCCACTCGTTGAAGGAAAGGCAGGATTCTTGGAGATCCCAGCGCTTTGGATTCCCCAGGGATTTGGATGATAGGTTCTGATGAAATTTGGAGAATTTTCCTGGGATAAGATCTAAGTCAAATGGGATATTAAAGTCATGATGTAAGGTTTTGTTGGTTACAGAGAATGGAGCATCAACTATTGTTCGAAGGACTTTAATACTATTATTAATAATACAATTATAATTATTTAGTCACAGTAACAAATACGAAAAAAAAATACTTTGACGGTAGATCCGCCAATGAACAAAAGTAACTAACTATGAAAACTCATTTTAAGAAAAACAAATATAACGCTTAATTTATTTGTATACGTATTAAAAATAATTTATGAATTATATATATTTAACAGAATAACAGAAAGCATCATAAAATATGATTTTATTATAAGTTTTCAAGTCATCTCGATTATTAATTATTCCAAAAAAACTTCTAGGAAACATATTCCTGCTTATATATTTATTTTTTTAATCATTTAAGAGGATTAGATTTACGGGGCAGCCAAAAAAGCAGCACTAATCCGATGCGAAATAAAAAATTAATTAAGAGATAATTCAATATGAGGTCTAGGTGGGGTGCGGGAAAATATTTTTTGCTACGGTTCGTTGGGGGGGGGGAAGTGGAGGGGGAGGAGCTAACAAGGGATGACGTTATTATTAAGAGACCCTTATCGCCTACAGCAGGACCCACGTCGCGGAATAAAACTAAGCCAGCCCGAGGAGAAAATAAAAACAATAGCAGAGGATCGCTGGGCAAAAGACCTGACGTCACGGGGTATCGACCGCTTCCTTTTTAGTGCGATACAGCCGAGTAGATTGGCTAAGCACCGTTTAGAGCCAGCGAAATGTTTCCGCAGTTCTGCTGCGGCAGTCAACATTTTATATTTTAGAATATACTACTGTGCCTGAAGAATAAACCAATAAAGGAGCGAAAGAATATATTAAAACCACCAATATAAAACTAAGTTTGTTTTCTATCTAATCTCCTGTATCTTCTCATTTGTACTATATTATAATTTCTTTTTGGTAATACTTGGATTGAAATAAACCACAAATTGTATAGCGGTCAGATGATAGTTATTAATACAAATGGTCATCAAGATGGCTTCCGTTAATGAGTCACAACTATTCATCATGCTGACTGGGCATCTCCAGAGTTATCACTGACTTCTGCATTCTTGAATCTTCAAGAGTCGTTACGAGTGAGACATTGATCTCATTCATTAACTTCAGGGCTGAAGTTCCTCCAAAAATTGAAAAATATATATATTTTTTTCGTTGTTACATATTTGTTTCTGTGATTGATTTGAGCTAAATACTATAACAATCTGTATATGTAATCTCTTTAAACTATATCGTATATGTAGCAATAAAATATAAGCACGGGTCAAGAAAAATATATTCATAACAACATTATTATCCCTGTAATTGATTTTTTTTTTGCTTGTACAGAAATTCAAGGTCTACTTAAACATCATTTTATGTAGTTTTTTCCTTATGCTGTTCAGAGTAATTACCATTATAAATACGAAAAAAAAATTCCTTCTCTGCTCTCCTCTCCACCCCCCTAAAAAAAATCCCGAATCCGCTAGTGGTAAATGGTTCCTCAAGTTGTCAAGAGTGTTCGAGTGTTGAAAAGATAACATAAATCTGACTTTTTTCGCCGATTTCTCCATTCATGAATACATACAGTTTAGTTACTTGCAGTGTGTTCAGTAAGAGTATTTCGACGGTTTCGCGGGATAACTATGGACACCGGAAGGAAACCAAGGGCACAAGAAACAGATTGTTTTGGGGCACCCGTCAAATATTAAATTCATCACTGAAACTCAACCTTTTCCCATATACTTGTATATAACGCAATTATTATATTATATTATATATATATATATATATATATATATATATATATATATATATATATATATATATATATATATATATATATATATATATATATAACGTTATGTTTGAAAATGTTTTGGAAATAAAAGATGAAATTAGTCGATCAGCCGGATCCACTACTAGATTTACACCCCGAAGCTATAGTCCGAATAAATTGAATAAATACATTTTTATGTGACAGCTTAAATGTTACCAGAAATCGATAAGAACCATAATTAAAGGGTATCTCCTGATCAATTCCAAGAACTAATGGAGATGTTTGCGGGTGCATTACAAATTCACAAAGAAAATAAATAATCCGTGGTACAACGACCTCTTTTTATCGAATTATTAACATCCGCCTGAAACTCTATAAATAGTTTCATCTCATCGTAACCTACAACTATTTTATTTACGAAAACTCCTGGAATTGGGGCGTTCGCAATCTGGAGGGGGGGAAATTTTGTCTAGTTAATTAGGTACTAAAAAATCGTAAAAACATTTGATTTATACTTGAATCGTAAGATAATTTGATCACAAAGTCGAGAAAAAACATTGAGCCGTTTGGCGTGACCTACACCAACAAATTTTCAAAATAACGAGTATAAGACAAACGGCCCAATATTTTTGTAGGTCACCTTTTTTATCAATTTTTTGTTCAAATTATCTTACGATCCAAGTAGAAAGCAAATGTATATTTACGAGTTCTTAGTACTTAATTAAATTGGCAAACTTCGTCCCTCTCCAGATTGAAAACGCCCCAATTCCAAGAGTTTTCGTAAATAAAATAGTTGTAGGTTTCGATGAGATGAAATTATTTACGTAGTATCAGGCTTATGTTAATAATTCGATAAAAAAGGGGTCTGTACCACGGACTAAAAACAAATTGCGCATGATATATTTTAGATAAAATCAAGCTGCAATACCGTTAATTATATTATACATGAAATGAAATGTCGCTGTTTTATCAGTTTGGGTCAATTTTTTTCCAGCATGCAAACTAATACATTCATTCGAACGTTAGTAGATATATACAGCAATACAATAATCTGGATCCTTGATCTAGATCAATAGATTAAAATTAGTGTTTTCCCTTATAGATTTCTCATACTGTGGTAAGATAAAGGGCCAGATAAAATAATAATGAAATTCACTATGAGTAAAATTTTATTTCTGTACTCAAAATATGCTTACTTGCTCGGAAGCTTGGATATCCTTCGCCCATGTTCTGGAGGACTCAGCAGTTGTGGACTCCTGCATTTCCTGCTCCTAGGACTCTGCCTGCTACCCGTACTGCAATCAGTTGTCAAACTGTTTTGTTTCTCTTCCTGCTGAACTCTGCAAAATATTTCATGAGCTAGAAATATCTTTATATTTCTCCACCACTTTAATAATTTTTTTTAAAATACTGATGAAATTAAAGCATGAGAATGAGACGATTTTTTATTTTCAGAATCCCTTGTTAGTGTTGTACCAATAATCAGCGTTGTTGTTAGTGTAAATGATAATCTGTTACGTTAACAATTTTTGTTTCTGATTAAATGTAAAACAAAATATTTCGACAATGATGATAACAAGAAGAAATTGTACATTAGATGTAAAAATAAGGTATAGGTTCCGTAATTTTTGTGATAAAATTATAATTATTTTTATTACACCAAATTTTCACAAATATTAATATTTTATGATAAAATACACCTGGAAAATACTAAAATATCCACAAACAGGCACCAGTATGTAATTAACAAACACAAACTTAATTATAACAGTAAAATCAGAATTTTATGGTGGCAATTATTGATGGTGTAATTTTATGATTATACAGTTTTATGACAGAGACTACTAAAGCTTATAGCTTATTTAAAACATTTTTTATAAAATTGGTGCGAGAGAGGTTATTCAACAATAAAAGGCAGAACTATAAAAGTATATTTTTATTTCTGATTGCATATTTTTATGTTATATGAAATATAAGTCTAAATAAAAACTGCGAAGACTTACTAATAGAAAAAAAGGGTATAAATTTAAGCTGTAATAGGATTCAATTGACAAAGAATATATATGAGATTGATGTTGCATTTAATTGTGGTTCTTATTATACAAATATATAAAATGGTTCTAATTCTAGTTAATAAGAATAGATCTTATTTTTTTATGAAATTATATTTACTACACCAAGGTGGTTGGTTGTATAGTAAAGGAGTAAAACCTGTTGGTCATCATCGCCATTAATTAAGATTTTACATATTTATATCTCCTGGTTGTGAATAATAGGAATACAATTAAATTGAAATGAGGTAAAATGCATGTTAAGTTAAAATTTACTTAAAGTTTAGTCATTTAAAGCTTATTAAAGTTTAGTTATTAAAAGGGTATTTAATGTTAGGACATTAAGTAAAAAAAAAAGGAAAAGAAAAAAAAGAGGGGTGCTGCGTGAGAGGTGCAGAGATTTTTAAAGATTCCTTCTTCAGAGACAAAACATGTGATTTTTTTTTGGGTCCTCCCCTTCCTTGACTTTAAGGCTATACGGGGTTTTCCCGGGCCAGGGTGTGGGCGGGGATTTTAAAGACTCTCTCGGCACCGGGATGCGAACTCGTGACTATTTTTCATCGTTGTCTCATATATCAGGTTGCCGGGCAACGGCGGTGCTGTACACACTCGTTAGCCCATTAGGCCACTCTACCCACCTTTCAAAGGAGTTTTTTTTTTTTTGTCCTTCCCTCCCTCGCCGTTAAGGCTATATGGGGGGTTTCCAGGGCCAGGGAGTGTAGACGGGGATTTAAAAACTCCTCCGGGCACCGGGATGCGAACTCGTGACTATTTTTCATCATTGTCTCATATGTCAGGTTGCCGGACAACGGCGGTGCAGTGTACACGCGTTAGCCCGTTCGGCCACCCCGCCTACTTTCCAAAGGAGTTGATGTATTTGCTCGTATTCCTCTTTTGCTTAATTCTTTGATGTAAAAAGTACAACTCTTGAAGATATGGACCACTGTCATTCTCCCTCTACACTTCCAAATGGGACAAATGGACGAGTTTTCTTTTGTAATTAAATGAAGCTGCATAAGCCTGGTATGACCTATTCTTAGTCGCGTAAGGACAACTTCCTCTCTGCGTTTACTGCAACTGGAACTGCTCCAGGACTTAACTTAATTTTTTATCACATTTAGTTTATTGGCTGTTGACCCATAGTTTCTGCCAATTTTGGAGTATCGCTTCTTTCAGGGGTCTCGTCAGTTCGGATGCAGTTAAGAAAGCTTTACCACGCCATTCTTTTGCTGCTCTATCAGCCGCTTTATTCCAAACAATGCCTACATGACCGGGTGACCATATAAAATTTATTGTTCCAATGTTATTTAACTGTTTTATGATCCACAAATTACTATACCGTAAGATGGGGTAACTTTGGGACAGCGGGTAAAATTTAGTTTGTTGTAATTCCGTGATGGATAAACTGTGTTGTTTCAGTCTGCAAAAACATCCTTTGTGTGGGCATGTACTGCGCTACTACCTTGCGGCAGCATGAGAACAATAGCTCACTACACTTGTTGTGCAGTTAGGTTTAATTTATTACCATTTCTTTTTAGAAAATTCTTGTTTTCATGAAACTTTGGGTAGTGCCTTATGAGTAGTGTGCCGCAAGGTAGTAGGGCAGTACATGCGCTGTCCAAGCTGTTTGAACCAACACAGTGTATCCACCACAGAATTACCACAAACTAAATTTTAGCAGCTGTCTCAAAGCTACCCACTCAGTCCCAAAGTTCCCTCCCAAATTCATCCCATCTTTCGGCATATTCCTTGGTGATCCAGCTACAACTGTAACGAGGAATATGTTAAATGCTTACTGTTGAAATTACTTTATTACATTTTAATTTCTATTAACAAATGAAAAATTTTCAGGCCATATTTGACAATGTTCATGGCCTTAAAGGCCATTATTATAAAAACCACCCCGAGCTCAATCAATTACATGGTACAACTTTGAATTAGTGCAATGCTGTTTGGTGACTTCTAAAAAGACCCAAAACTGCTGAAATAATTGAAAAAAATGTTGAGAAAAACACTAACCAGACCCACTGAAACAATCTATGACAAAAGATATTTTTGGAACTCAAAAATACATAAGCGAGTTGCAAAAATAATTGAGTATAAAAGACTGCTAGGTACAGAAGAATTTTCGTATATGGAAGAATTTTTAACTTGTGCCAAGCCATTAGCTGAAGCAATAGATATATTACAGTGTGAAACCAATGCTTATTAACCTATGGCCTGTATTTAAAATCAATCCAAATTTCATACATTTTATTAAATTTATTTTCAGTTCTTATATGATTGTTATTCAGTCTTTTAATCATAACAAACCATGTAGCCTTTTGTATTAGTATAATTACTAATATAATATTAGTAATATCAAGTGTGCATAAGACGTTTTTTCTTATTTTAACCATCTATCACCTATTTTCTATGAAAAAAGAGGAATAATAGTAAAAAAAAATGCAAAGAAAATATGTTTTGTGAATAATTTATTTATTAAATTTAAAATGGAATTAGTGTCAATTTGTATTTATAAAAATATCATAAACTCAGCATTGATTTAAATTATTATTATTATAGCTCAATTATTATTTAAAAATTTATAGTACAATTCAACATTCTACCAGGATATAAATCAAGAGTAGCGCAGAAACAGGGCAGAACCACTAGTGGGGTTTAGGCGCCACAAATCCTGGCTTACAAGTTCCTCCGACAAAGAACATCTCCACGTGTAGGAAAGCAAGTGACAACGCACTGCACACAACACTTAAGTGAAATACCTTATTAATACTTTTATTTTCTAATGTTGTAAGTATTTACTTTATATCATTATGGCTATAAATTAATTATAATGAAAACCAGATTCATTTATTGAAGCAGACATGTTACACTATTGGAAATATATGTACTTGATAATGAAGAATACGTTTGTCAGTTTAAAATTTATGGATATAGATTTTCTTTTAACACTTATTATTAACTTATCTATACATTTCATTGTCTTTAATGTGATTTATATTTTTTAAGTAACTTGAAGTATATTTTAATACAGTATTAATCTTTGATCCTCAATACTACAGGTGTAAATGAATAATATCGTTGAAATGCGCCTGCCTCAATATAAGCTCTCATTACATTTCAGATAGCGAAATTCAGCATTTAACCTTGGCCCAGAGAGATATAATTATTTTACAGCAAAAATAATAATAAAAAAGAAAATATACTGTTATAAAGAATCAGCAAACTCACTACGCAATAACGGTCAAATAGAATAAATGAAAAATATAATAATGATGATTTGAAAAGAGCATACTTTATCTAATCATATGTGCCTTTCTGTTGAAAGAATGACTAACTCTAATTTCAAAATTTTTGAGTAAAGTCTTTTTAGTGATATTTGTAGTTAAAAATGTATAATGTCTGTAAAAGTAGTGAATAAGTTGATTCCATAGTAGGTGATTGCAGTGTTGAAATAGAGAACTGTGAATGAAGGTATAGATTTCCCCACTAGAAATATCACTAAAATTAATAATAAAAAATGTTTATGAAAAATAATTAAATCCAATTTCAGCATTTTAATTGATTTTGTTATAAAGACGTGATCCTGGTGGTTGACGCCTTTATTAAAAAATAAGTAAATAAATACAAATGTTGAAAGCGGAGTTAGCAATTCTGTCAACTGAAAGGTTATTATAATACAGTAGTAAGTAGTACAGCTACTAAATGCAAGCATTAATAATTAAGAAATTACTTGAAGAATTATTATTCATGTTCTCAGGAGCGATGGATTTTGATAACTGTAGTACCAAAAGATCTGTCAACTGAAAGACTCATGTAACGAAAGATGCACGTCAAGATAATTTTTTTAGCAAGAGGGAAAATTTTAGATTTAAACAGGTAACGATGGAATTCGCATACGCACTCTGTCCGGTCCTAAGTGGAATAAGGCTTTTATTTTTTTTCAAAAACATTCATCTCACAAGAGGAAATGATAAAAATCCTTAACAACAAAAATTATCCTCACTGTAAAAATATATTATACAAGCCTTAAATTATAGAAAGTAACTAATTTTACAGTTTAATTTTAATCAAACATCGGATAACAACATATATATAAATATTAAGCATGATTATTTATTACTAGAAAAGTTATTTTAAGTATACCTGTTATGAAGAAATATTATAAATGCAAAGATGTTTTAGTATGTTACATTAATGTTGTTTATACTTATAATTATCATTTTTATATTATTATATTATAAAAGTTAAAAAAAATATATATAAATCGTAAAAGAGGACGACCT